GTTTGGAATCCATATTATGCAAGGAGACATTGCTTCCCCACCAAACCCCCCACACCCCCCGGCGGACGGATACCAAAAAACATAAAATTAGTGCTATTTATAAACAAAATCATAACAGCTTCATCTGACAAGATTCTACAACTATGNTACAACAATTCTATTATGTAAGTTAGTTTTATACAAAATTTACCTTGACTCATTTGTTGGGACGGGAACGCGCTTGAGTGGCCACTTTCCCGTCAATGCTTCATCACCGAGGTGCTTAAACATCCCGCTCTCGCGCAACAACCGCGGGAACAACACTGACACTGCCTCTAACTCGGCCTCCAACTGCTTGTCTCGAAAAATTGTTGGGTTGCAGTCAAGGATCTTCAGCAACCTATGATGCAGTAGACACTTTTAACCTTTGCCCAACTGTGGCCATATTTGGGCCTTTCCCCCATTACATACTGCATCATCCTGTCATCAAACTTAAAATCATTAGGGACGCAGTCCAAGTCTTCTGTGCCCAATCGTTTTCGCTTGGCTCCTTTTGCTACAGATGTACCAATGGCCTTTTTCAATAAATTGCGATATGTCGATACCAGTGTTTGGCCAAAGGCCACATCGGTGATAGCACAATCGAGATACAGTAGATCACAATTGCTGGTTTATCGCAGCCTCATCAGTGCCAATGCCTCGTCGATGTGCTGCATCAAATAAAAACAACATGATAAGTATACAATACCTCATGGAAAATATAAGCAAAAATAAGGAAAATTAAGCGAAAATAACTCACCGAGTTGTGAAGCCAGCTGCCCATCGTCAAAATCTTTTCAAACCAATCCCGAGAATAATCCTCTATTGGCCTATACAAATCGACAGTGGACTCCATTTTTGCTTGCCCGCTTCCTCCCCCTTCCTCTATTTGTACATCCCCGCTTCCTTCGCCTCCCGTCTCAACCTCCTCTATTATAACTGCCCCACTTCCTCCAGAAACCTCTTTAACCCCCTCAATTTTGGCTTCTTACTCAATTTGTTTCTTTGTTTTCCTCTTAATTCCACGTGTTAGTATGGTGTAAGGAGATTTCACAAACCTGCTCTTTCGGCTCTCTCTTTTCAGCCCAGGCTGCACTTTAACTGCCTTCAATACTCCACCAACTTCCTCCTGCACCCTACCAACTTCCTCCTCCACCCAAACAACTTTCTCTGCCACCTTATCCACTTTCTCCTCCACCCTTTTCAACTGCTCTTCCATCTTATCAAACAAACTCTTTATGAGGTCAACCATCTCACTCTCCCACTCGGTAAAGCGGTACTTGTTGTATCGGTTTGCTGGGGCATACGAAGCTCTTCCTCCCTCCCATCGATTGCGCCTTCATCCTCCTCGGCGTCAACCACATTCTCAAGCAGTGGCCCTACAACTGCCCTGACATGTGTGACCCCTTCTAGGTCCCGCGTTAGACGGTCTATCCCTTCATCCTTTTGATCCTCCAATGCTCGGAAAGATGTGACATAGTGCTGTTGCGCTTCAACCCCCAGAAGCGGTGAGGAAGGGACGGACAACCCCCTACAATAAAAAACAAAATCAATCAGATTTAATCGACATTTTAAAGCAATTGCATGTTCAAGCTTAATCATTTAATCTTACCCGAGCTGGTTGAATTTCAATCTCTATTTACTCATAATCCGAATGGGTACACTTCTAGTCGTGCCACCGTAACATCCTAGGAAATGTCTATTGCACAACTGAAGCCCTTGTCCTCCCCCCTGCCTTAGCCAGACAGGGATGGCCTCATACATCCAAGCCTACATTGTAAAAAAACAGTCCATATCATAATTCAAACACATATATTAAAAAAAAAATATAACAAAAAGCTATTAATATTTACCTGCATTGCCCATGGAAAGCCAAACAAATTGTACGTCGCGGTCTATTCTTCTTAGCCCATTGGGAGTGCTTTAACGCCAGGTATTTTGCTTGCAGGGACTCCATGGTTCGCTTAAATGATACCCGTCCCCACGGATAAGCATTAAAGAAGTTCAAGTTACTTACAAACTTCACCCAATCAATATCAATGACTTTTGTTGAGTCACTAGCCATTAGGATCGAATGTAAGAACAATACTAAGCATAGTTTGAACGTCTCTGAATCGTTAAACTCACCATCTTTTAACCTGTCCTCTAATTCCTGTGCCTTAATAGACTTGTTCCCCGCCAAAACCTTGTTAGCCAACCTTTTGGCTCCCGTACTGTCCGTTATTCTTTTTTCCTCAACCTCAACTAGCAATTCCCCACATCTTAAGCTAGTCACCAACACATATTCTATCATCCCGAAACGTACTGGCTTTCCATCCACCATGAACCACATTTCGTGCTTTTTGTTGCTTTTTATTGAGTGCAGCAACATATAATGCACTCCCGAACCCCAGAATGTCTTTTTCCATTTTGTGTCCATATTCCAAAAATGACTGAAACAAGTCTCTTTGAATCTCCTTTCACCATTCCTCATTGTCCCTAAAATCCCCGTTATTCTTGTTAAAACATCCCAACTTGACCTCGCTGTCACCCTCACAGGGAAGTAGGGTACCGTATCGCTTACAACCTCCAATCCGTACTCTCTATAGTTTACGCTTTGGAAAATCTGCACAATCGATATAAACAAAATATCAGCAAAAAAATTAAACCAAATCAAATATAAACAAAATACGCTTCGGAAGAATCGCTTAAGCGATGGGCAAATGATTCTGCCTCATACAAGATCTCTTAAGCGATCTGAAATAGCTTAACGATACAAAGGATCGCTTAAGAGATTATAGATCTGGGCAGATTTGGTTCTGCCTCGGAAGAGATCGCTTAAGTAATCTTAAATCACTTAAGCGACCAAGAGTAAAAGCGATTCATCACTTTTACTCTTGGTCGCTTAAGTGATTACAGATCGCTTCTTAAGCGATCTTGTACAAGGCAGAATCAACATCTACCAGATCTAAGATCGCTTAAGCGATCTTTTATATTGCTTAAGCGATTCATCACTTTTACTCTTAAGCAATCCAAAATAGCTTAAACAACCAAGAGTAAAAGCCATCAATCGCTTAAGCGATACAAAGGATCGCTTAAACGATCTTTTATATTGCTTAAGCGATTCATCGCTTTTACTCTTAAGCAATCCAAAATAGCTTAAGCGAACAAGAGTAAAAGCCATCAATCGCTTAAGCGATACAAAGGATCGCTTAAGCGATCTTAGGTCTCGGCAAGTACAAATACCTTTTCTTCGGCGGCCTCCTCCTCTTTGGCAGCCTCCTCCTCCGCGGCCTCCTCCTTCTCCTTTGAACTCTCGCCAGACTCCTCTTCCTGGCCTGAATTCTGCCCGACCTCCTCTTCCTCTTCAGAACCGTTTTGCTCCTGTTCTCTCTCTTATTATGCCACCGTCGTCTCCGCTGCTGGAACACTTTCATTGATCAGAGGATCCACCGGAGCAGCCATTGAACTGCTTGCACGGCCGAACTCTACGATTCAAAGAGGCGTTGGGTTTTCCTCCTCATTGTTAATGTCAGCCATAGTTTTAAGAAAGGAAGAAGCTTTAGGATTGAATTTGGGTGTGAAAATTCACCAGAATGTGGACTGTTATCGCCGAAATGTGGACTATTACCGCCAGAAATTGCTAAGATGCATTTAGGGATTGAAGATATTGATTTTTGCCTTAATTGGTTTTGATTAAGTGATTTGAATATTTGGGGCTCTTTTGTAAATTTCAAATTTTAAAAACTTTCATTAATTATTTTTGTCCTTATATGTTTTAATCTTTTCATTTTAACCCATTTTACATGTTTAACGGATCCTAACTGTGTCACGTCAACTTCTCTAAATAAAAAAAAAAAGGGTAAACAGTTTCAAGGCCTTTTTTTTAAATCCAAACTTGAGATGGCCGGTCAGCTAAATTTTCTCAAAATTAAGCCTCTGTATCTACGTACTATGTCGATTTGCCCCCGTCTCTCCCTATTACTCTCAAGATGAAATACTTGGTGGTGAGATTGATAGAAGGTCGGGATTTTTTGATTCGGTGGCGTCCATGATGACAATGATCTTGTTCTTTTTACAGCGAGGCTGGAAAGTGGCCGGAGTTGTAATGGGATTTTTAGTGGTAGAGGCAGCCATGAGAGTTAATGTAGATGGTCTTCTGCAGGTTGAACGCCATTGTTTAAGGAGGAGTGAAACTGAAAGAAAAGAGTAATGTAATTGGTAGTGGATAATAGTAGTGAGTGGAGTTGTGGAGAGGGTATTTGATGGCTGCTAATGTAAGTGTTTGTAGAGAGAAATAGGAGGAAGAAATGTTTTGTATTTGTGAGAAATTTTTTTTCAAAAGCAAATGAAATGTTTCCAAGTCTTGTTGCCATTTTTGTCTACTGGTTTTTTTCAAGATTTTTTTGCCAAGCTTGATTAACCGAGCTCCAGTATCCTGTATCCCTTTAAATTTCTGATCTCCAGTGGACCTCTCAGTAGGATTCAAACCCAGATGAAGTTCTGACCATCTGTTAGAGAAAAAAGAACGAATGGACCTTTTAGGATTCCCAAGAAATTCTTCAATTTCTTCCGGAAGCAGATGCTTATTCATTTGCCTTTCACGTATCGTGAATAACTAGGACATCGAGGAATATCCAGAAATGCATTTAGGGAATCGGTCTGATTCTCTCTCTGTTTGTTCCGTTTGAAGAAAGGAAGGATCCCAAAGAAACTGAGTTTGAGTTCGATTTCCATTGTTTAGGGTCGAACTTGAATTTGAACCCAATATTGTAGTAACCGAGTCGAGTTCGAGTAACCAGATATTCGAATCGATTGGACTCAATTTTTCATAATGTGGCAGCATTACTTTTATCTGCTTCTCTATAGCACCGAACCAAGATGGTAATTGTACAATGCTACAGAACCAAGCTAGTAATTATACAATCTTTTATCAGAATATATATATATATATTCAACAATATTTAATATTGTCAATCGACGAATGCAACATAGATTTCCAATGATTATATTCAACAATATATAATATTGCCAATCGACGAATACAACATAGATTTCCAATGATTATTTCTAAAGGATAAATTTTTGCAGCATGGAAGTAAAATTGTAGCCTTAATATTGTCACTAAAAAATGAGAGAAGCTGCTGCATAAAGAGCCCCCGCAAGAAATGTTGAAATGAGAGTAATTTTGGTAGGCATTTTCCCTTTGTCAATTCTCAGGAACATGGCTTCATAAATTGGCAAGCAATTCACCGTGAGAAAACCTGCTAAAATCATCTGCAAAAATAATCCTTCCATGTTGTTTCCACTGATGATGTCTAAGAACCCTTTAAAGAATGAGAATAAGTTAATTGTTGCTGCGGTTGCCAGTGTCACAAACATGGGTGATGGTACTCCAAACTCAAAGATTTCTTGCTCATATCTCTTGCTTTGCTCATCATCAAGTACTTTGCTGGTCACATTGAAACCTGATGCAGAAATACCAAAGCTCTGGAGTAAGTACTCAATGGACCCGAAAAGGAAACATGTTAGTCCCCTTATCATCCAAATCCTCTGATCATTCCACCACTTTCTGAAGGTTGAACCTTCTAATATAAACTCTAGGCAGTCTTTTGCATAGGCTCCAATGAATAGAAATGAGTATAAGAGAAACCATGGTTCAGAAACCTGCAGGACATTTTTCATTAAGTTAATCATGATAATTAATTAGTTAATGAATGATAATTTAGCAAATGTAGGCGGATAAATACCTTTGGGAAGATACTGACTCCCTTGAGGAGAGCCAGCTGGGGGAGAAATGCATACACGGTGGCGGGAATGGCCCAAATGGGCCAGCATGAATAATGAGCATAAGATAGACCCATAAGGCCAATTCTGCGGATACCAAAGGTTAATGTACTATATTTCGAAAAGGTCACCTCAAGTAGACCAATGGCCCATCGCTTGTATTGATTTATCAAATCAATAAGGGCTATCGGTGCATCCCCATAAAATGCTGGCCTCTCAGGATGACAAAATATTGACCTCCATCCCTCACAATGCAACCGGTACCCTGTATAGTAGTCCTCAACCAATGACCCATATCGAAAACCTATCTGTCCATTTGAACCAAATCCAGAAGATTTAATCATCAATGCTTTGATAAAAGAAAACTCTAGTGAATGACTAATGAAAATGCTAACCTTGGATCCCCAGTTGGTTTGGTTCTCATAATTGCAGCCTGCTACCTGGTGAGCCAATGACAGAATGGATGGGGACTTGAGGGGTTTATCCACAGCATGGTTTGGATGGAGTTGAGGGATTTCAGGTGACATAAAAGTTGAAGGATCACCAAAGAATGCTCGTCGACGGAAAAAGGTTCCAGTTCCAACATAATTAGGACCCTTTAACCCATCGAAACCCAGAAAATTAATTTCAAACAAAAGTTTGATCTCACTAGCATACATGTCATTCTTGTTAAGTCCACGAAAACGCTGAGGAAACTGAATGTACGCCAAGTCGGATCGAGTTGCAGAATCACATACATAACATAGCACACGGAGAGGTGTTTTGGGATCATTTGAGTACATATCACAATCAAGCGTCAAGACTATTGGTGCATTGGTCATAACAGCTGATACTCGCAGCTTCAACCCAACAATTAAGAAACTTTTAGCATGAAAAAATCATGTATCTGAAAATTCTCATTGCTTAATAAAATTATTTGTGTTTATGTATATATACATTTAGCATACCAGGGTGTTGAGGGCACCAGCTTTGAAATTGTGGCGTGAAGTCTTGCTTTTCTGTCTGGATACATAGATGAGGTTGGGCAACAAATGGCCAGTGATATCTCTGTCTTTGCTATTCTCTAATAAGACCTATTCGTAGTTAAATGTGTGAGAACAAAATTTAATGTCTGGATATACATGGGTGGCTTTTGAGCTTGAAAATTTGACAAGGTTGAATGCAGATGAACCTGAATAACAGTGGGATGATCTTGGCGGGTAAATCCAGCAGTCCATTTATTGAAAGCCTCACGTTCTTCATCTCCATTGATGTACTCATCGCTTACTTTCCCAGTTTCAACAACATGTTCTACTTTGAATTTCATGCTTTCATACAAAGCCTGTTACATGATCAAGGACTGAAGGTCATTAAACTGAAAAGAAGAAGAAGAAGAAGAAGCTGATTATTGTTAATTATATATACCTATAAAGCTTATAATTAATCAGATCATGATATTATCACTGTTAAAAATAAAATATGACTTTAAGTTAGTCATCAAGTATTAGAAGTAACTAGCTCCCATCACTCAGTCTGGTCAAGAACTACAGCAGGTATAAGATTAGGAGTGAAATTAACGTAAAACCGCTGTAAATAACATTTGAGTCATACTAATAGAGAATTTTACAGAAACGATCATCTTATGTTAGGTGTCAGACTGTTGTTATGTTTGCAAAAAATTGGATGAACAATAAAGTATTTCGGCACCTGACAGCTGCAATATCAGGCAAAAGTTGAAAATCAAGCATCGACAGCAGGGTTCGACCCTGCGCGGGCGAAGCCCAACAGATTTCAAGCCTGTCTCCTTAACCACTCGGACATATCGACCTGAGGTCGCTGTTTTCTCTTGAATCATATAACATATATTTCAATTTGTTTAACACTTACTATGCTTTTTAGTGGGCTAATTGTCAAATGTCAATCGTGAATGCTAACAATATTATACATGTTTCTTCTTTCCGGTGTTTTATGAAGGTGTGAAAAAGAGCGTCGGCCAAAGATATCCCCATGACTCTTCAGCCGCCAGTGACATTTTCTTTTATCTTTTCAAAAATAATACATACAGAGTGATAAAGACATATGGTCTCATCGTTTGATCACTTGCAGCTACTTCCATGATCTGCCGTCAGCTCAGCTACATGGCGAGTTCATCCAGCTAGAGATGATGAAGCCTCCACATGACTTTGTCGCTGAGGACAAATGAAGTCCTCACTAGAAAAATCTATTGTGATTTATATTACGGCCAAATTGCGCATACCCAAGGTTTGTGGAAACGAAAAGTTGATCACTGCTGGAATCTGGCAGAAAATTGTGTTACGACACAGACCTCATCGGATCTGTGTCGTAACACGTCGATCTGGCCTTTTCCAGCCAGATCCGTGGTTGATCTGATCGGAAAAGGTCAGATCTACGGCCAGATTTGGCCGTCGATGCCGCAGATGGAGTTTTGCGGCCACGACGGCCAGATCAGTGCAAAGCCAGATCGACACGTTATGACATAGATCCGACGGGTCTGTGTCACAACGTAATTTTCCGGCCAGATTTCGGCGGTGGTGGCCGGAATCTGGCACTGCGGGTGTGGGGGTGTTTTTGTCATTTAACAAATTTTTTATATATGGGGGTGTTTAGTTAAATTAGTAAACCTAGGGGGTTTTTTAAAATTTTTTAAATTTATAAAAAACTAAAAATCAAACTTGTAAGGGCATTTTAGTCTTTTCACTATGAACAAATAGAAATCATTAACCGCACATAACGGAAGGTACATGTTTATTATTTTAAAACTTTTTAAGTATCAACTTATCGTTTCGACAAACCTTAGTATGCGTAAGCCGTTCGGCCTTTATAGTACTGCTTAATTATTATTCTCCAGTCTCCCGAAACTGACCGAAAATTATTTACTAAGAACTACGTACCAAAGAAGCAAACTAATACTGATCACCAGGACTATTCTATATAATATATTATGACTGAATTAAATAGCAAGAAAATTACTGTAGGTAAAGAATATTTCACCTTAATCTTCTCAGTCTCGGAGCACCAAGAATGATCTGATGTACTGAAGTATACTTCTGGGCTCCTCACTATGATATTCTTCTTCCTTCAAAATGGTAGCCAGTGACTTGCAAACTTAGCCGCCTCCATGAAAGCAAAGAGAGTGAGTGCCGAGCCTCCATCGTCCGATACATAAACTGAAACCTTCTCCTTTGGATAATCATAAGCCATAACTGACAAGGCCGTGTTCACAACATTTATCGGCGGTTCTTTATAAGGATCCGCGGTGCAAATAAACACATCCAGAGTTGGAAAATCACTCGGTTTCATGATTTTTTCAAGGTTTTCAGGGTACTCTTTACGATGAACCGGACGCATATGACAGGACTGTGTGGTCACCCACATGAAGGCCAGAACAAGATTGGAGAGTAAAAAAGAGAGTGTCACAGAGAAAGAAGCTACGTTTGTGCAGTTGAAAAGTGTTAGTACATGGTGATAAACAAGAGCAAGGATGGCACAAGCGTAAACCGAGGCAAACACGCGGTTGAATAAGGTGCGACGGAGGGGATGAAGAGTGTGAAGAGGAAGGGCTTGGGTGGCGGAGACGGTGGTGTCGGTGCACTCTTTTAAACTTCCCATTTTCTTGGTGACTCTTTATGAGAAGTACATAGCATTAGCATAGGCTTGACTTATATATAATCCTGTAAAACTGGATACCAGGCACGTTTAGGGATGGGCGTGGGCCGGGTCGAGGGTCAGGGACCCCATTCCCCGTCCCTAAAGCTGGGCAAGGATCGGTCCCAAGCAGACCCAGGCCTGGGCTCGTTTGGGACTGGTCCTTATGGGACTGGTCGCAAATGGGACCAGTCGCTCATGGGCTTGGGACCCATGAGAAACTCTATGACCCAGCCCGATCCTTAGGACTGGTCCTATGGACCTGAAAAATTTATTTTTCTCCCCTCGATTTTTTTTGGGGCGAAACAAAATTTTGTAAGGGGTTTTTAGTATTTTTAGGGGTAAAATTTATAAATTTTTTAGGCTTGGAAGATTTTTTCTTTAATAAATTTTATAAAATTTCCTTTTAACCCTTATAATTTATGTTTATTTTAAAATTTATAGAGAGTTTTATGCAATTATACAAGGGATTGAAACGAAAATGTGTAAAAAATTTTGGGCCCAGGCTGGGACTTGGAGGATGGCTCAGTGGAGGGCCCAGGCCCTTCTCCTTAGAAATGGGACCAGGCCTCCTAGGACCGGGTTTAAGGCCTAGTCCCAAATGCCCACCTATACCTATCCCCGTTATCCACTCCCAAGACCGTCCTGCCGTCCCTGGCCCGTTGGGATGGAATCACTCCCATCCTCGTCCCGGCCCGACCTGATGAATGGGGCTTTGCGGGGAATTTCCCCCCGCAAGGATTTATCCCCCGAACGAGGATTTTTGCCCGGTGTAAATAAAAACTTTCCACATGTTCTCATGACAATGATGTTAAATTATTTTAATTGTGAAAAACTAGCACGTTAATAGGTACTATATTTGACTGCTTAATTTTAGTAGTTAATTCATTAAAAATGTTAAATTTAAGGTATGAAAATATAAAATCAACAATTTCTTGTAAAATTTAAATTAAGATTTAAAAAACAATACATAACTACCACCATAAACTAATTTAATTGTTACTAAGTTAGTGACACATTTTCTATATAGTATTAAATAGAGGAATTTAGATTCCACATTCTGATGTTTTATGTTGCTGAGACATTATAATATTCTACTGAATAGTCTCATCTACTAAAATTCATAAAATAAATACTTGAAAGAAAATTTCGTTGAGAATTGTATAATATGGTGAATACAACAATTTCTTGGCAAAATTAAACATGCTCATGGATTTCAAAGCAATAAAATATAAACATCGTTCAGGCTGCAACATAACCTCATAATATACTCAAATCATCCATTGCAACATAACATTTTAATATATTGGTTTGGTAAATTATAATAATCTAATCAAATTTTTTTTTTTTTTTGGGCCAGTATTATATTTGTGAAATTCACAAGTAATTATACATATATTTAATTATTAGACTCCCTCGTTTAAATTATTTTTCTATAAATTTAATACAAACATTAGAAAGTATTATAAAAGTAAATATCATAAATTTAGATACATTACTTAAATCATGATTTAAACTCTAATTTTATATACAATCTCGCAAAGGGAACAAAAAAAAAATACATAAAATTCTCAAAAAAGTGGGGCAGGCAAGCGGGGCTTCACGGGGACGGACGGGGCGGGGCGGGTCGGGCGCGAGGATTGCACTATCCCCTCCCCAAGCCCGTCCTTGAGTGCGGGGATTTTTCTGAGGACCATCCTCGAAAAATTCAAGGATTCCCTGCCCATTCGGGCCGAGTCGGTCTGGATCCCTGCAAGTCGGTGCAAATGCCCATCTCTAGCACGTGCAAACAATCTTAGTATCCGCAAAATCGTATAGAAGAGATTATTACAAGTTATATAATATAATTAATTTATCTTGACGAGATAGCAAAAGCAATATGGAGGGTGGAACCATTACCGGGTGACCCAGCGTTCAATTAAGAATCTTGGGTGTATTACTTAAGTCCTGAGTTCAATCCATCTAAATTGCTAATAAGAGTGATCATTGAGGAGATTTATTCATTTGTCAATTTCAGAATCTCGAAAATTATTTAAGGTACGAACAAGCTGACGTGATACCCCGATAAAAACAATAATAATAATGGAGGGTGGCTGTAGTAAACGATGAATGAAGACAACTGACACGTAGGGAACAAGATTACGTACTAAAAATGGCTGTGGAGGTCCCTCCTCTTTCAAAGAAAATCCTCCACTTACTATTTGGTTATTTGCCGACACTCACTCATATCTCTATAATTACCCTAATAATAATAGTCAATTGCCAAAGGTTCAGTCCGTCGATGACACGACAGAACTAAATTATATTTAATCCTAGAAAATCTCGATTAACTGAACTTGGGAGTAAACAAAAATGTTGTAGAAATCATGTAGTATTATTTAGCCACCTACCGCAAATCATGTATGATTATTTAGTATCTTTTAATTGATTAGTTCAAACAGTCCAATTGGGCAACAGAACCATTCAACCATTTAAGTTTTTTTATTCTTCTTCTCGAAAATTATGGATTATTTAAGTGGATTTGCAATAAGATTCAATGTGAAAGTCATACAAAACACTACTTGAAGTAAGAAATCAGTGACAAGTTCCCCAATTTAGTTCACGTTCTTAGTTTCAGTTTTAGTTTAATACAGGAAAACAAATGATTGGATTTTTTTCTGTTCTCGAAATACCCAATAATGAAGACCACTTTCCTCATTCTTGCCATATTTTGGTCCGGTTAATGTTTCTCCCGATTGGTGGAGACCGACAATAATAATTGACCTACTTTAATTATTTGAATAGACTTCTGACACAGCAATTTAACGATTGATCCATACAACTATCAATATATAAAAATGTTGATGTTTGATTTTGTTATGTTTGAAAAAGTAGGGCTGACGCAGAGCTTTGTCAGTATGAATGGTCAGAGCTTAGGTAAGTCCAACAGCCGTTTAGATGAGCCCGTCGCACGCTAACACAAACAACATGCTCCTGCCAGTGCAGTAGGTGCGCCCTAGGCTAGTGAAAGGTTGAGGGCGATCCACGTGTCCAATCCCTACAAGAGTCAAGTAAATCACTTGAACAAGTGAGCAAAGAGACACTGGAAGGTTTGTACGACAATCTGACCCACTCCCTGATTTAGTAATCATTACCTCAATTCATCTATTATAAATAATTGATCCTCTCCCTTTTGCGAGATTAGCTAATTTCTCTCTAGAATTATATATTCTCTCTCTCTTTGTAATCTCTTATAGTCAGCTCGCTGAACGCGACCTGATCTCATAATCAATACAACACCAGTAGACGTAGGAGTCGCTTATTTAAGCATCCGAACCACTTTAATATTGTTCTCCATCTCTTATCCATTCTCATACCCCATTAGCGTGTGTCTTCTGAGTCAGCTCAGCATTTCACACATGCGTTTAGTTGGTATCAAATCACGCATCACACATTTGGCGCTAGAATGGGGGCCTAATTTGATCTTCGTCTTTCATCAGAAGAAACTCTAACTAACTAGTTCTACAAGACAAATGGCTCGCAGATTCGAATCTTAAAGATCCAATCATGGTGAGGAAAAAGTCCCTCAGTGCAGAGGCACTTCGGAAGTCCCTCAAAGTCTCGTAGGGGTATATCCTTCAAGCTCACGCTTGATCCAGCAGTCATGAGCTATCTGAAGAGGTTCAACAATACTCTTCAAATGGTCAACCAAAGGCTGGACTGTTGTGTTTGTATATATTTACATTTAACATACCAGGGTGTTGAGGGCACCAGCTTTGAAATTGTGGCGTGAAGTCTCGCTTTCTTCTGCATACAGATGAGGTTGGGCAACAAATGGCCACTGATGTCTCTGTCTTTGATATTCTCTTAAAAGACCTATTCATATTTAAATGTGTGAGAACAAAATTTATAGTCTGGATATATATATGGGTGGCTTTTAGCTTGAAATTTGAGAAGGTTGAATGCAAATGAACCTGAATAACACTGGGATGATCTTGGCGGGTAAATCATCAGTCCATTTATTGAAGCCTCACGTTCTTCATCTCCATTGACGTACTCATCGCTTACATTCCCAGTTTCAACAACATGTTCTACTCTGGATTTCATGCTTTCATACAGAAGCCTGTTACATGATCAAGGACTGAAGGTCATTAATTTGAAGAAGCTGATTATTGCTAATTATATATACCTATAAAGCTTATTATAATTAATAAGATCATGATATTGTCACTGTAAAAATGAAATAAGACTCTAAGTTATCATCAGTATTAGAAGTAACTAGCTTCCATCACTCAGACTGGTCAAGAACTACACTAGGTATAAGATTTAGAGTCAAATTAAGGTAAGGCAGTGTAGATAACGTTTGGTCATACTAATGAGATTTTGACAGAAACGATCATCTTATGTGTGCAATTTTTTTTATGAGGTGTCAGAAGTGGAGGCCAAGAACAGCTGCAATGTTTGTATCGTTTGCAAAATTGGATGAACAATAAAATATTCGGCACCTACAGCTGCAATATCAGGCAAAAGTTGAAAATAAACGTCGACAGCAGGGTTCAAACCTGCGCGGGCGAAGCGCATCAGATTTCAAGTCGGTCTCCTTACACACTCGGACATATCGATCCCAGTGCGTCGTGCGTTTTCTCTTAATGACAAGAAAATCATTGTTGGACAGCTAGGCAAAAGGTACCATTTCATGCTTTCATAGAGTCGGCCAAATATATCCCCACCACTCTTGAGCCGCTAGTTAAATTAAGTTTTCTTTTCCTATTCAATAATATACATAAAGAGTGATAAAGACCTGCACATATGGTCTTATCCTTTGATCACTTGCAGATATTTCCATGATCTGCCGTCAGCTCAGCGACATGCTAGTTCATCCAACCAGAGATGATCAAGCCTCCACATGACCTAGTTGCTGAGGACAAAACAAGTCCTCGCTACTTAATTTTCTAAATCATTGCTTAAACAAATAAACAAAAGAGGAAAAACC